CGTAGTAAATGTCACAAACTATAGCGTTTCCCTAAAAATGAATCTCACTTATGATGTGGTTTTGTTCTATGAGCTGGGTGGTTAATTTGCGAAGCTTTCATCACCCTACTGGGTGACATCTTCAGCGCATACTTCAATTTGAAGTGAGCTTTTAGATTTCTCCACGAGTTTATTAATCATCTCTCCTGATGACCTTGGACGTGATTGGTTGTTTATGTGTGTTTTCACACCTTCTAGGTTACTTGTATTGGAACTGACTGTTTCTTTGACTTGAACTTTGACCCTTTGTGTGTGAAGTTTCTTTCTTATCGGTTGATAAATTTTGTCTATCTCCATGTGTCTATTGATTGATGATTCACTGGAATGCCAAGCTTCTAAAAATTCTCTAGCATTCTTGTTGTTTCCTCTGTCCAATATTTCAACGTTGTCCCAGTCGAATTGATGTCCGTGGTTGTCTGTGTGTAGTGATATGAGGGAGTGGATATCATGTCTTTTGACGGCTAGCTTATGTTCGTGGATACGAAGACGAAAGGGACGTCCACTTTGGCCAATGTAGTGTTTTTCGCAGTTGTTACAATTTATTTTGTAGATGATGTTGGTTTTATCTTCTTTCGCTGTTGAGTTGAAAGTCGCTGCCTTTTAATCATTACTCAAATCGTCAAACTTGAACGAAGAAACACAGGAAGAGATACGCCGAACAATTGTACCAATGGTCAAACAGAAAAAACAACACACACAACTCAACGCTCAAGAACTAAAGGCCCTCAAAAAGCTGAAAAATAGGAAGGACATCGTCATTCTACCAGCCGACAAAGGAAGAACAACAGTAGTCATGGACAGAGAAGACCTCAGCGGATATGCTCACATGGCTATTGCAGAAGACTTGGTAGGGGGAAAGTGTATCTGCTAGTTGCAGAAAGTCTACCTTGACACTTTAGTGTCAAAGAAGTTCGACTTATGTTCACGCAACAACTGGTATAACATCATACTTCTGTCAATTCTGAGCAAAACATTAGGTCACTTCAGAGATGATAAAGAAATGACCCAGCGATTTGGAGTGAGCGTCATCCAAAGCGTTTCCGACAGACTGGAAGTCTTCATCAACAGCTGCTTTTCTCAGCACTGAAAATCCAACGTCTGGTCATATAGGGTAAACAACAAGGAACTCTGACAGCGAGCTTCTCAAAACTCAAGGAACAATTAATAGTGAAAAGTGTTATTATCTCAAGTTATTACCGATGACATCGAACTTTATTTGGCACAGCTTCGCTTGATAAGTTGAATGTACAGTGAGTCAACAAGACTGAGCAAAAATATAACTGCTAGTTTTTCATCTTCGCGAATAGAAAAATAATCCCTTCGTTATATAGTCCAAAGTTAACCATGTGTGAAAGTAGAAAACTACTTTGTGATTTTGTACTCCATAATGACTGGTAATCAGAGGTTTCACCATAAACCTGCCTCATTTCACATTCTATGGAACTGGCTCCACAGAAGCGATTAAACTGACAGATGCAGATGGAATTGGGCAGGTTATTCAGTCTTCTGTAACCTTAATATGGATGGGAAAATCAAAAATTCAATTCAATAGTTACTATGACCCGTTGCACTAGATGTGGCTCTCGTGGCCCAAGTGGACTAGTGGATAACGCTTTGGCGTTTGAAACTATGGGTACTGGGTTCGAGCCTCGGTGGGAACATAATCACTCACTGACAAATGCAGGTACATCCAGCTGACGAGTCCCAAATTGGACGAAATGCGCATCCTGGATTCTACTGCTAGCCACCATCCAGCAATTGTATACTTAATCTGGATGTTTGCAGAGGATGAGATTTAATTTAATAGGGGGAAATTCTCTGATGTGTTGTCTTAAGCATAGGGCAGTTTTCACTAGGCGAAGATGTCAGTTTATGCTTACAAATCTAGAAAGTGCTCTATCGCACCAAAATAAACCTATGACTAAAATGAATAGATCAACATGAATCAATTTAACATTATCTAGATAAACGCCTAGCTCGCTTGCTGATATTTTAGATTATTTAATTTTTTTCAACGGGTAGGCATCTAACCAGATTCGGACGACATTCTGTGGTTTTATTTTGCGCTGATATTACTCACATACCCACGGTCCTTAGTTCAGCCTCTTTAACCAGACAAGTTCAGAAATCTTTACCCTATATAACCTCAATATTTTATTCTATTTAAACATATAGCTCATTAGAGTGCATTTCGTAATAACTGTCTTTTCGATTCGCGTTTTTTATGAGTAATTACAAGTCAGGTAATACACCGATTGAATGGGCGATTAGGCATTGTACGTTTAATAAGGCTAGTATATTTTAGTATATGAAATGCACAACCATTACCTTACAGTGGACTTACATTTTCATCTTATCAACCAGATAACAACTATTCTAAAGTTTTCTACCGTGAGGGTAGAACCATGAGACTGAATGACACGAAAAGCAGTAAGTTGAAAATTGTCTAAATACTGTCCTGTATTTGACGGGAATCTTATCGGTGATGTCCAATTTTCAGGACATTTAGGAGAATCAATTCGCTACTTTTCTCTTTATGCACTTGTATTTTTTCTCAACATGGATCAAAATCTCTTGACTTAATTATTTATTGAGCTCTTCCTTTTGTAACATTTTTTAACAAATCATCAAAAACGAGGATTTAGAATGCAGGGTATGCTTTCTTCCATCGAGTCGAACCCCTAAGTTGTACGAAAATGGTCGACAGGCGTCTAGGTGACTGTTGCCTACCACACACTAACCCATAAGGTCTTAACTATATAGATCCTTGCGTTGAAACATAAGTAATCATTGAAGACCATTCAAGAGATTAAATGTGGAAATTTTCATCTTAGAAACAAATAAATAGGTAGTCAACTCAGATGGAAAGTAATTAACAGACGAAATAGCCCTACTCTTCATCATTTTGTCTCTTCGTTTTCTTTTGGATCTCATACTGGACTTTAATTTTCAGTCCTCTAAGTTCTACGCACTGTATTTTATTATAAACTTGTGAGTTCTTCTCATCTTATTTCATTCGGTCTTGTTGCCTAATTCTTTCTGACCTATCAAACTGCCCCTTAAAATAGTTTTTACGAGGAACTATGGTCAATATATATATATATATATTGTAATGCTTAAAGATAACGTGTTATCCTTATGTTCCATTTCACTATGACGTTGTTAAAATTTTACTGTAAAATTTTACTATAACTCGTCTTATTAAATTTTAAAAATTGTGCACATATGAAGAAAACCATTAAAAGTGATGTGGACCCGCATTATTCTGCTCTAATGTTCATTCTTTCCCTTCAGAATGTGATGACTTCAGTTATTTTGCCAATGAAATAAATATATACACTTTGAATTCTAAGAAATATGCTACACAAGCATTATCGATTTACTAAAAAATTAATAAACAAATCAATCAACATTGACTGGCCAGTTTATACCGATCTGTTTACTTCAAATCAAGCTCATCAGCTGTGTATGATTACAACGATAATCTGATTAGTATGTGTTTTTAATGAATCCAGTTAATAGTGTTCATTCACTTACATCATCAGAGTCCAATATATGATACCTTTGATAGAAATAGCCTCAGTTGCATTTCATAGCCTTAACTACAACTGTATTTCGACACCTGAATATGTTAGGGTCATTGTTGTCAACACATTTCAAAAATGTAATGAGTAATCAAACTGTAACTGCGGGGAATGGTGGTGAAGATTGGTGAAAGGGTAGTGGTGATGTGTTGTCAAAAGAAACAACAAAAGAAGTTGAATAAGCGTAATAAATACAGTTACGTAATAAGATGAATAGTTTAATCAGTGAGTTGTGATCAGACAAACCGAAAGTACACACACATACAAAAATAAGTATATATATATAATTGCAGATTGTACAGCTAAGTAAATGAATTCGCCGAAAAGAGACTCTTGGTTGAACTATGTGTTTTGTTTTCACTGGAATATAACCTTTGAACTTTACAAGTATTTATTTCTATCGTTTTATCTTGAACTTAAGATATTATACATCTTTGTCATACGAACTGAACAAGTATATATATTTTATTTTTCAATGAGTTCTACTCAGTTTGCATTTAATCGATGATTCATAATGAACTTTCTTTTGATTGTGTGATATTATTTTGACGATTCTTATTGGATAATCTAAGGAGAATTTTTTGTCTTTTCAAGTACATACATGAAAAACAGTTATATAGTCGAGATAATCAGAACAGATTTGAACTGTGAGTGAAAATGAAACTGTCAAACTGCATCACTATACAAATTGTGTCTATTCATTGTTGACTGATTCTACTGAAATGATTTGCAGTAACACAACGGATTATAGTTACTTAGTAGGAGATTTTCGCGCTTATGCATGCCCAATAATTGCTGTCGTCGGAGTGACAGGCAATATTTTCATAATAGTTATTTTTGCTCAGGATCGGCCATATTCAAGATTTTCATTCTATGCTATCTCTTTAGCTGTAGCAAATATTACCACATTAACTGTGAACACATTCATTGATGATTACATTGGACGAGGACTATCTCATGAAATTCAACCTGTGGTTTTGAGGAACGCAGAGAATACTCTTAGGATACCTATGGTAAAATAGTGTATGCTGTCTCAGTAACATTTTGATGAGTAGACCCATATTCCGTTCATTCGAGAGGCAACGTAAAGTGGTAAGTGACAGACAGGGTTCTGCGATTTCTTTAAAGGAATATTTTAAAGGAAAAAATTATTATGGATTATGAGATAAATCATTAGAAGTGTCGAAATTAGAAACTTACTGTATAAACTTTTATTACAAATACATTATTCATTTTCTATAGTTGCTTTGTGAGGATTAATTTTGTAAAACAATTCATTCCATAAAATGTTCGAGGGTTTATTTATGTTAAATTCAGAAACTACTGATATCTTTAGTCAGTAGGCGAAGAGTATGACTTCATTTATCCGTCCAGTTTAGGTTTGCGTGAGAATTCACTGTTAGACAGATAGGTATACGAACCATATAATATATACAGTTATACAGAAATGTGTTGCTGTGTATATGAACTGTCAAAAACAGAAATAAACATGGCGTAGTATAAGTGAATTAACTTGAAATATGATTCAATAATCCTCAAAAGTGTGGAACAGTTTTTGCACGTCTAAACTTATTATTCTGCCTCTTGTCTTCTTGTCTGTAAAGTGTTAACTGAGGTGCAGTTAGTGCCTGTTTACAACACATGCTTCTGAATATATTCCAAAAACTTTGTCTGAAATTTCTCAGAAATATTAAGTATACAAAGAAATTAACTGCATAGGTGATATCTTTAACAGAAGAGAGAAATCTGGACAAATCAATAATACACAGTGCATAGGGTTTATGTCTGTCCATATGGTTTAAAGTTTGGTTTAGACGAATCAACACAACACATACCATTGGCAAATACAGTAGCAAGAATGCTGTACTCAAAGCAAGGTGTCCGAACACTCGTCCCATTTCCATATGATTCCGTGAAGAATCCGTTGGTAGAAGAGCTCTTCGATTCGCTTTCAACTTCCATAATCGAATACAGATAAAAGTGTTTAAGAACAATACCAAGCAGAATGGTATTGTAAAAGTGATGATAGTTTCAAATGCTATCGTGAATTTTGCAACTGGATGTTCAGAAATCATTCGACATGTGAAATTTGTTCGACTTGACGGATCAACCACTAGAGTTTGCACAGACAACAAAGGTGTATTGCTGATTATTCCAACAAAGAAGACGATGATACACGCACTGAGTGCCCAGCGTTTATGAAATGTTGAATAGAATTTTATTGGTTGATGAATAGTCAACAGTCGGTCAATTGAAAAAATGACAATAAGATAAGATGATATGAAATACATTGCATTCGATATATACTCCACACATTTACACCAAAATTCTGATAACACATCGAGTTTGTAATACAAACGATGATTTGTTGCATGAGATAGTCCTCGTCCAAGGAAATCATCAATGAATGTGTTCACAGTTAATGTGGTAATATTTGCTACAGCTAAAGAGATAGCATAGAATGAAAATCTTGAATATGGCCGATCCTGAGCAAAAATAACTATTATGAAAATATTGCCTGTCACTCCGACGACAGCAATTATTGGGCATGCATAAGCGCGAAAATCTCCTACTAAGTAACTATAATCCGTTGTGTTACTGCAAATCATTTCAGTAGAATCAGTCAACAATGAATAGACACAATTTGTATAGTGATGCAGTTTGACAGTTTCATTTTCACTCACAGTTCAAATCTGTTCTGATTATCTCGACTATATAACTGTTTTTCATGTATGTACTTGAAAAGACAAAAAATTCTCCTTAGATTATCCAATAAGAATCGTCAAAATAATATCACACAATCAAAAGAAAGTTCATTATGAATCATCGATTAAATGCAAACTGAGTAGAACTCATTGAAAAATAAAATATATATACTTGTTCAGTTCGTATGACAAAGATGTATAATATCTTAAGTTCAAGATAAAACGATAGAAATAAATACTTGTAAAGTTCAAAGGTTATATTCCAGTGAAAACAAAACACATAGTTCAACCAAGAGTCTCTTTTCGGCGAATTCATTTACTTAGCTGTACAATCTGCAATTATATATATATACTTATTTTTGTATGTGTGTGTACTTTCGGTTTGTCTGATCACAACTCACTGATTAAACTATTCATCTTATTACGTAACTGTATTTATTACGCTTATTCAACTTCTTTTGTTGTTTCTTTTGACAACACATCACCACTACCCTTTCACCAATCTTCACCACCATTCCCCGCAGTTACAGTTTGATTACTCATTACATTTTTGAAATGTGTTGACAACAATGACCCTAACATATTCAGGTGTCGAAATACAGTTGTAGTTAAGGCTATGAAATGCAACTGAGGCTATTTCTATCAAAGGTATCATATATTGGACTCTGATGATGTAAGTGAATGAACACTATTAACTGGATTCATTAAAAACACATACTAATCAGATTATCGTTGTAATCATACACAGCTGATGAGCTTGATTTGAAGTAAACAGATCGGTATAAACTGGCCAGTCAATGTTGATTGATTTGTTTATTAATTTTTTAGTAAATCGATAATGCTTGTGTAGCATATTTCTTAGAATTCAAAGTGTATATATTTATTTCATTGGCAAAATAACTGAAGTCATCACATTCTGAAGGGAAAGAATGAACATTAGAGCAGAATAATGCGGGTCCACATCACTTTTAATGGTTTTCTTCATATGTGCACAATTTTTAAAATTTAATAAGACGAGTTATAGTAAAATTTTACAGTAAAATTTTAACAACGTCATAGTGAAATGGAACATAAGGATAACACGTTATCTTTAAGCATTACAATATATATATATATATATATTGACCATAGTTCCTCGTAAAAACTATTTTAAGGGGCAGTTTGATAGGTCAGAAAGAATTAGGCAACAAGACCGAATGAAATAAGATGAGAAGAACTCACAAGTTTATAATAAAATACAGTGCGTAGAACTTAGAGGACTGAAAATTAAAGTCCAGTATGAGATCCAAAAGAAAACGAAGAGACAAAATGATGAAGAGTAGGGCTATTTCGTCTGTTAATTACTTTCCATCTGAGTTGACTACCTATTTATTTGTTTCTAAGATGAAAATTTCCACATTTAATCTCTTGAATGGTCTTCAATGATTACTTATGTTTCAACGCAAGGATCTATATAGTTAAGACCTTATGGGTTAGTGTGTGGTAGGCAACAGTCACCTAGACGCCTGTCGACCATTTTCGTACAACTTAGGGGTTCGACTCGATGGAAGAAAGCATACCCTGCATTCTAAATCCTCGTTTTTGATGATTTGTTAAAAAATGTTACAAAAGGAAGAGCTCAATAAATAATTAAGTCAAGAGATTTTGATCCATGTTGAGAAAAAATACAAGTGCATAAAGAGAAAAGTAGCGAATTGATTCTCCTAAATGTCCTGAAAATTGGACATCACCGATAAGATTCCCGTCAAATACAGGACAGTATTTAGACAATTTTCAACTTACTGCTTTTCGTGTCATTCAGTCTCATGGTTCTACCCTCACGGTAGAAAACTTTAGAATAGTTGTTATCTGGTTGATAAGATGAAAATGTAAGTCCACTGTAAGGTAATGGTTGTGCATTTCATATACTAAAATATACTAGCCTTATTAAACGTACAATGCCTAATCGCCCATTCAATCGGTGTATTACCTGACTTGTAATTACTCATAAAAAACGCGAATCGAAAAGACAGTTATTACGAAATGCACTCTAATGAGCTATATGTTTAAATAGAATAAAATATTGAGGTTATATAGGGTAAAGATTTCTGAACTTGTCTGGTTAAAGAGGCTGAACTAAGGACCGTGGGTATGTGAGTAATATCAGCGCAAAATAAAACCACAGAATGTCGTCCGAATCTGGTTAGATGCCTACCCGTTGAAAAAAATTAAATAATCTAAAATATCAGCAAGCGAGCTAGGCGTTTATCTAGATAATGTTAAATTGATTCATGTTGATCTATTCATTTTAGTCATAGGTTTATTTTGGTGCGATAGAGCACTTTCTAGATTTGTAAGCATAAACTGACATCTTCGCCTAGTGAAAACTGCCCTATGCTTAAGACAACACATCAGAGAATTTCCCCCTATTAAATTAAATCTCATCCTCTGCAAACATCCAGATTAAGTATACAATTGCTGGATGGTGGCTAGCAGTAGAATCCAGGATGCGCATTTCGTCCAATTTGGGACTCGTCAGCTGGATGTACCTGCATTTGTCAGTGAGTGATTATGTTCCCACCGAGGCTCGAACCCAGTACCCATAGTTTCAAACGCCAAAGCGTTATCCACTAGTCCACTTGGGCCACGAGAGCCACATCTAGTGCAACGGGTCATAGTAACTATTGAATTGAATTTTTGATTTTCCCATCCATATTAAGGTTACAGAAGACTGAATAACCTGCCCAATTCCATCTGCATCTGTCAGTTTAATCGCTTCTGTGGAGCCAGTTCCATAGAATGTGAAATGAGGCAGGTTTATGGTGAAACCTCTGATTACCAGTCATTATGGAGTACAAAATCACAAAGTAGTTTTCTACTTTCACACATGGTTAACTTTGGACTATATAACGAAGGGATTATTTTTCTATTCGCGAAGATGAAAAACTAGCAGTTATATTTTTGCTCAGTCTTGTTGACTCACTGTACATTCAACTTATCAAGCGAAGCTGTGCCAAATAAAGTTCGATGTCATCGGTAATAACTTGAGATAATAACACTTTTCACTATTAATTGTTCCTTGAGTTTTGAGAAGCTCGCTGTCAGAGTTCCTTGTTGTTTACCCTATATGACCAGACGTTGGATTTTCAGTGCTGAGAAAAGCAGCTGTTGATGAAGACTTCCAGTCTGTCGGAAACGCTTTGGATGACGCTCACTCCAAATCGCTGGGTCATTTCTTTATCATCTCTGAAGTGACCTAATGTTTTGCTCAGAATTGACAGAAGTATGATGTTATACCAGTTGTTGCGTGAACATAAGTCGAACTTCTTTGACACTAAAGTGTCAAGGTAGACTTTCTGCAACTAGCAGATACACTTTCCCCCTACCAAGTCTTCTGCAATAGCCATGTGAGCATATCCGCTGAGGTCTTCTCTGTCCATGACTACTGTTGTTCTTCCTTTGTCGGCTGGTAGAATGACGATGTCCTTCCTATTTTTCAGCTTTTTGAGGGCCTTTAGTTCTTGAGCGTTGAGTTGTGTGTGTTGTTTTTTCTGTTTGACCATTGGTACAATTGTTCGGCGTATCTCTTCCTGTGTTTCTTCGTTCAAGTTTGACGATTTGAGTAATGATTAAAAGGCAGCGACTTTCAACTCAACAGCGAAAGAAGATAAAACCAACATCATCTACAAAATAAATTGTAACAACTGCGAAAAACACTACATTGGCCAAAGTGGACGTCCCTTTCGTCTTCGTATCCACGAACATAAGCTAGCCGTCAAAAGACATGATATCCACTCCCTCATATCACTACACACAGACAACCACGGACATCAATTCGACTGGGACAACGTTGAAATATTGGACAGAGGAAACAACAAGAATGCTAGAGAATTTTTAGAAGCTTGGCATTCCAGTGAATCATCAATCAATAGACACATGGAGATAGACAAAATTTATCAACCGATAAGAAAGAAACTTCACACACAAAGGGTCAAAGTTCAAGTCAAAGAAACAGTCAGTTCCAATACAAGTAACCTAGAAGGTGTGAAAACACACATAAACAACCAATCACGTCCAAGGTCATCAGGAGAGATGATTAATAAACTCGTGGAGAAATCTAAAAGCTCACTTCAAATTGAAGTATGCGCTGAAGATGTCACCCAGTAGGGTGATGAAAGCTTCGCAAATTAACCACCCAGCTCATAGAACAAAACCACATCATAAGTGAGATTCATTTTTAGGGAAACGCTATAGTTTGTGACATTTACTACGATTTAGATATGGCACAACTCAAACAATAATCCACATTGCTTTAGGTATCGGACTTTTGAATTTCATCAGGCACTACTTTATCGGGTCTGATTATCATCGCTCATAATTCAGCCAACATGACCATCCTTAAGAATTCTAGGGAAACTGATATCGTTTTTTGACATAAAGCTTTGAGCTCACACCAGAATTACTGTAGATTCTACAGTATTTGAACAAATTAAGTCATAAGTTATGGACAGATGGCTTGGGTTCCAATGATAATACCTGGAGATCATGTAGGACTGAGGGAAAACCTAGATGCAAACTAAAAGTCACCGGTTGAAATATGAGTATTTAAAAAGAGTGAACTACTAGTTGCGTTAACGAACTTCCTACCTGATGGATTCGCGAGTCTGCTATCCTAATCATCATTAACAACAACGACACAATATATACCACCGAACTCAAGATACAAGAAGTTATGAAAATATACCGTTGACGTAAAGAGCTTTCGGTATCTCGAATCAACAACGAAAAGGGTTCACACGAGTCGTATATATATATATATATATATATATATGCTTTAGATGTCTTTGAGAGACACTGATTAAAAAGACAAGTTAAAACAGCCAACAACCAATAGAGCTCAAAAGTCATTAGTGTGTGTCGGGGGGTGAATGAGAACAGTGCTGTGCGCCACAGTGATGGCTGTGACGGAAGTTGGTGCTGGCTAGAA